AACAGATAGAGTTGGTCTTTCATCGGAAGTATTTGCGGTTTTAGCTGACCTGCAATGTAATGTGGTGAATGCTAAAGTATGGACTCACAAAGGTCGGATCGCATCTTTGATCAACATAAAAGATTGTAATTCGGGGTCTCCGATTGAGGACTCGCAACAGATCGAAAGAATAGAAGCGCGTTTGAGGAGTGTTTTGAGAGGAGACAATGATATCTTCAGTGCAAAAACTTCGGTTGCTATGCCTGTAACTCATAGAGAGAGAAGGTTACATCAAATGATGTTTGCAGATCGTGACTACGAACGGAAGTCTGTTTTGTGAAGAAGGACGGATTCGTCTGTTGTCGTTGTGGAAAATTGGGCAGAAATGGGTCACTCGGTCGTGAACGTTCAATGGAAGGATCGAACCAAGCTTCTGTTCAACGTTGTTTGCACATTGACAGACATGGAATATGTTGTGTTTCATGCCTCCATCAACACAGGAGGGGATACAGCATATCTGGTACTAAGTTGTTTCATTATTTATCTTTTAATGTTTTGGTTACATGATTTCAGTTTTGTTGTCTTTAAACTTGCCTTAATCTTTGTAACAGGAATTCTATATTAGGCACACAGATGGAACCCCGATTAGTTCTGAACCGGAATGACGTCGAGTAATCCAATGCTTACAAGCTGCAATCGAAAGGAGAGCATCCCAGGTACATTTTGATTCCGAATTCTCCTCAACTCTCAATGTTCATCCAATATTCCAAACTCTGATGCATTAGTTCATGTGATTTCAGGGCATCAGGCTGGAGTTATGCACATCTGATAGGAAAGGTTTATTAACAGATGTGACCCGAACCTTTAGAGAAAACGGTCTAAACGTGACGAGGGCAGAAATATCTACGGCAGGGCAATGAACATTTTTTACGTAACGGATACAAGCGGGAACCTAACGGACCCCAAAATCATTGAATCAGTAGGACACAAGATTGGTTTAGGTAACTTGAAGGTGAAAGAATTGACATTTAGGTATCATCAAATGGCTGAAAGGCAGCAAGAACAAGAAACCGGCATCGGCGGGGCGGTTTTGTTATCGATCGGGAGCTTGATGAGAAAGAATACAATTTGGGGCTTGTTAAATCTTGTTCTTGAGAGTGAAATCTCCATGGTAGCAATGTGGTTGAACAAAATAGCCAATTCTTTGTTTAGGTTTGGGGATTAGCCTATGTGTACATAGGAAACATGGTGGGATTTGGTTATATTTGTTGCCCCCAATGCTTTTGTTTAAGAACTGGTGCAATAGAATTTTTTTAATAATACAAAATTATTTTTTGGATAATTTGATTTTTATTACCAAAAGAAAGAGCAAATAACATATACAACAGTAGGAAACAGCCCACCAACAGCAAATAAACAACACTCCCCACAATTGCCTAGGTAAAACAACTCAAAGAAACACTGAAAGAAAAGCAACAATTAACTGCAAGCAAAATTAAAGAGCAACCCGTAAGTAGCCACCTCTTTAGGAGCATCTCACGTGCCTGCAGACGAGAGACCAACGAAACAGAAGCAAACAACAAGCTAGTCAATGCACCAGTCGAGGCAAAGCTGTGAATTAACCCTATCACCTTTGTTGATGCTACAACCATGCAACTTAACACTAACTGTCCGTTTTATAGCATCAAAGACCTCATCAAGCACTCGAGAACACCCTCTAAAGTGCCTGAGATTGCGTTCTTCCCAGACAAAATACATAAGACTAATCCAAGCTAGCTTCAAAATACAGATTAGCAAGGATTTTCCCTTAAAGTTGGTAGCAGCCCAGGACAAAGTATCATTCCAGCACAACCCCCTATAGTGAATTCTGCAAGTCTGCAGAATTTTACTCCAGAGTCCAACAACAAAGATGCAGTCATTAAACAAATGATCCCTGCTCTCAATATTATTATAAGATAGTATATGTTTATAATTTTTTAGTCATTATTAAAGCACAATATGCAGACGCACTGTTCAAACCCAAAACTTAGAAAGAGAACAAAATTCTATCTAACCAAGAATTCTTAGAATGCAATATTATCTTTGTAATACATTTTTTTTAATAATTTAAACTTTTAATATTAAAATAAACTATTTGTATGAAGATTTATAAAATTATTCAGAATTCGAGATAATTATAAGATAATATATATTCATAAATTTTCTTAATTATTGACAACATATGCAAACATAATTAATCAAACTTGATTTCTCTAAGAAAAATAACACTTTCTTTTACATTAAGGTCACTAAATAAATTTTGTTGACTTTTATTTTATATTATCTAAACTTTATAATAAACATCTATTTAACGTATTATTTAAGAAAAGTAATATATTAAAAAATATTTATTTTTTATACATAGAAGAAAATAGGATGGCTGGTGAAAATATAACTTTTATAATGACTTTCGACTATTAATTACAAGGGTAAACTATATTTTTTATCACTTAATTTCACTTGTACTCTAATTTTAATCATTATATTTAAATTTAATTTCTAAATTATTTATATTTTGATTATTGAATGTTATTTCAGAAACAATAAGGTAACTTAGATTATTTTATTTCATCCTTATGTTATTTTGAAATTAGAATTATGTTTCTCTCACGTCATCTCTAACACGCCAATATTTTTTTTATACCTAAAACTCAATTGAGATTTATATATGACTTTATAAATTGTCCATCAAAAATGACGGCAATAAAATTCAAATTTGACCTTATAAGCTCAAATTTCTAAATCACAACCATTTGTGCCAGTACTCGTTGACCACGCAAATAAATCTTTTTTTATATATAATATAATTATATTATTAAAATATTAATCCTACAATAACTTTTAAAATTCATTCAACTTTACAATAAAATAAATAGATTCATATCCTATATGTAATATATAATTAAATATTAATATATTAATTTTTTTGAATCGTTATCTATCAACTTAAAATTTTATATATAACATAATTATATTATTAAAATATTAATCCTACAATAACATATAAAATTCATTCAACTTTACAATAAAATAAATAGATTCATATCCTATATATAATATAATAATTAAATATTAATATATTAGAATTCAGAAAGCCATGTTCTCCCAACTGAACTTTATTGGAATGCCTGCAAATTAACCTTTTCTAAAAAATAATATCAAAGTAATCTTAACGAAATAAAATAATAAATAATGTAATAACGAATACATAAAATATAGTAAACAATCTTACCCATCCAATGAATTAGAAAACCAAAATAAATAAATAAATAAATAGAAAGTTTAAGACAAAGAAAATAAATAAATTAAAGATGTTTGTGATTTCCACAATTATAATTTAATAAATTAAAATAAAGAAGAAGAAAAAGCTATGGATGCTAATGACTTAATTTTCATGGAGCTCATCAACAATATTTAAAATTGATTAAATAGTTTGTTCTTATCTTAAATTATACTTTTAATAATATTGTATTTTAGAAACTTATCATTTTAAATTTTTATAATATTTTATATCTGGAAACAGTTACATTTTTAATAGGTCAATGCTTGTGGTCCATCCATGATTACAATATAAAAATAATTATGTTTATTAAACAATTATTATTTCCATTTCCAATCAATATTTTTATAATTATTTTTAAAAAAAGTATTCATTTTCTCTCTCTCATCTTCATTGAATATTAATAAAAAATAATTTTCAATTAGATAATAAAGTAAACAAAATATTTAGTCACCCAACTATCACTTTGATTTTATTTTGATCACTAAATTATATATTTTTCAAAAGTATCTCTAACGCTACATTTTGATTTTATTTTAATCATCTAATATTAAAAAATTAACATAATTATTGAAAATGATTTTTTTGTTAGTAATATAGTATTACCTTCCCGTTATTTTGAATCTTATAAACTGCAATCAAATAATAATAATAATAATAATAATAATTTATTTTTTATTTTTAATTAGAGTTAACTATTCATATGAACACTTAACTATTATCTATTTTCATTTTGACCATCGACTTTAAAATTTTATCAATCAAACTACTTAATTATTTAAATATGTAAATTAAGCATTTTACTATTAATATTTAACGAGTAAGGTGATGTGAATATTAGAAGATTAATATAGTTATATATTTGAATTTTAATATTTATATATCTATTAATTTAACCATATTTTTAATTTAATTAATTAAATTTAAATGTGCCAATTAACCACTCACAAATTAATATGTTTATTGCCAATTGATATATCTCTTTTACTTATTTGATTCTCACTTTTTAGTTATATTTCCCAATAATTTAATATTCCTTTTTATGAAATGGGAAGAAAACAATTTAAAATTAGAAAATATTTTTTTCAAGTATCAAGAATTGTTATTCTTTTCTGTAAATAAGAAATACATTACTTTTTCTTCAAACCTTAGCAACCTAATTTTACTTGCCATTCACTCAATAAACAAATGAATAAATTTGTTTTCAATTTATTTTATTTTATATGATAATAAATACCCACTTTTCATTGGCTCTTAAAAAAATCAAATCAAATCAAATAAATCTACCCATTTTCATATTTTCTTTCAATTTTTAATTTACTGGAGATTCCAACTAAGGACATATATCAATATCTTAATTAATTAAATTAATTAATTATTACAAATATTATTTATCACACTGTTGAATAATCTGCTTTTCATTATTTTAATAATCTTAAATTCAGACAGATTTAAAAAGAAAGTTAGGAAGTTGAATTATCAGAAACTCAACAACAAAAAACCTCTCTTTTATTAAATCTCTTATCATTTTCCTTAATTATTTTTTTTCCAAATTTTATTCTCAAATCTAATTTTATTTTCCAAAATTAATTTTCAATGTTAAAAAGAATTAAAACCCTCCAGTGTTAGTTGAACTGGAAAAAAATAGTTTTCGTTAAGCTCCAAAACTTTAAATCAGTACGAAAGATTTAATATTTTTTCCAGGTTTTGTAATATAAAGCTGTACTGTTTTTAATTTAGTTTTGTTGGGTTTTTTTTCCTGGAAAATTTTGAGCCTGTTTTAGCTGGTTGAGCTTAGAATCCAAATGAAATTTTGATACAATCTTAAGAAAAAAAGATAATATTTTTTAAAAAATTAAAGCTTTAAGTTTTAACTATGGAATCAAAGGATTTTGTAACTGCTACTGCTGGAGTTACAGTGGTAGGATTCGATGCTCAATCGGACTACCACATAGCTCCGAGGTCCGAAAACTCGACCCAAAACCCGACCCCGGGATCCGCCTCACCGAAACAGGCGGCGCAACCGGGGGTACCTCTGCCGGTTTCGGTGGCGGGTATGCCAGAGAAGAAGAAGAGGGGAAGGCCTAGAAAATACGGACCAGACGGTTCAGTCACCAAAGCGCTCTCTCCGAAGCCTATATCAACAGCTGCGCCGCCTTCGGTTATCGACTTCTCCGCCGTGAAGAGAGGGAAAGTGAAGTATCCGACGTCGTTTTCGAAGTCTAAGAAAGAGCTGGAGAATTTAGGTGAGAAACCCATTTGTTGTGTTGTTTTTAAAGTGTTTGCGTTGTGATAAAATGTTAAGTGGGACCTCAGAGCTGGGGGTCGATGCTCTCAAGTCCTACTCCAGAGATCTCTTCGATAAGTGTGTACTAAGGATGGCGAGTTTCCTAGTGGAACAAAGTTTTAACTTACCGTTGTTGTGGTTTTACGATAATCTTTAAAATCGTTATTGTGACCGTAATTTAGTGCTATGTAATGGAATTTTATCATTATCGAGTGTCCTTTGCTACTTGGCAATCCTTTAGGGGAAGAAAACATAGTGTAAGCACCCTGCTTTGTCCTTTGAACACCATTTGCACAAGTCTTCTTAGTGTCTGCTATATTCTGGGCTGATCTTATTGCCAGATGCAGGAGAAGAAAGTTGCTTTTTATATAGTTGACTCTTTCTTAATATCAGTATCCGACGTATATCTAGACATGCGTACGAGGAGATGACTATATAAAAAGAGATAGACAAATAATTTGAAAAGTTGAACACCCACCCGAGTCCGAACAACATAGGTCGCTTTCGTATGCTTTGGGTTTATTCAGCTTGGATATAAGTACTTGTTGCTGGCTTATTGGAATAACAAGTCTTTTAATCTCTAGTTTGTCCTCCTAGGGACCTTAGCAGTAAGGTGGATAGATCGAATCTCGTGCCGTTTATATTAGCGAACTAAGCAACTTCTAGGTATCATAGTACACTGTTTTCCAGTATGTCGAATTATTGCCGGATACTTTTCATGAGTTTCCACCGGAAGATAATTACTGTCTGGCTGGATTTTAGCTACTTGGTGAACTTTTGATACATTCCTCCTTGATTAGAATTTACAGATAAGCAGCTCGTGACGGTTATTTCACATTTATTAATTTCAAGGATTTAAGATCTTGTAATCCGTTTGCTGATACAGCTGTTCTCATTGTAGGTGAATGGGTTGCATGCTCTGTTGGGGCTAATTTTACGCCGCATATCATCACTGTTAATTCTGGTGAGGTATGTTGTAAAGATAACAACGAGCTTGTTTGATGTTATGTTCGCTTATGCATGCAAAAGCTCCATAGTTTCGTGCTGGAAAATATTATTTGAGAATATTGCCAGTTCCGTTCTGATTTGTCTACTCGGTATTTTAGGACATCACAATGAAGATTATATCTTTCTCCCAACAAGGGCCTCGAGCTATATGTATTCTCTCTGCAAATGGGGTCATCTCAAGTGTCACTCTTCGGCAACCCGATACTTCTGGGGGTACATTGACATATGAGGTAATGCACTATTTCTCTTTATTTGTATACCTCTTATGATGACGCCTTTGAACTATATCAGTCCTAGCATGGATACTCATTATATACATTGTTTATTCATTTCGAAAGTCCGAGTCTCTTGTGACGTCAAATTTGTTTATGGTTTAATCCTCCTAAGTTTCATTATGGTCCTCTTCGGAAGACTTCTAGATTTTGGACATTGATGTTCAGCAATCAACATTACTCCTAAGTTTTACTTTGTTATCTTATCTCTCATCGGCAAACATCCGACCTCTTCTCAAATTTCTTGCAGGGTCGTTTTGAGATACTTTCCTTGTCCGGTTCATTCATGCCCAGTGAAAGCGGAGGAACAAGAAGCAGATCCGGTGGGATGAGCGTTTCATTAGCAAGTCCAGATGGACGTGTAGTAGGTGGTGGAGTCGCTGGTCTCCTAGTAGCTGTGGGTCCCGTGCAGGTTTGGCTTCGGTTTTGCCAGTAACCACATCCCTGGTGAAGACAGTAACCACATCCTCTGGATTTTCATAACTTCGTTTTAACTGAACAGTAACCACATCCCTGGTGAAGACAGCTTATAAACTTATTACTTTCTGTTGTCCTGAACCAGGTTGTAGTGGGGAGCTTTCTAACCGGGAACCAGCACGAACAGAATCTGAAGAAACAGAAGCATGAGTCGATGACCATATCAGCTGCAACGCCAATGTCCATTATTCCCATTTCCTATGCCCATCCCAAACTAAACATCTCCTCATCCGTCCGCACCGATACTTGGTCGCCGACTGATTCAAGTACTAAGCCCGCCGACATTAATGCATCTCTGCATGGAGCCTAATCTACACATCACAAGGTTTGATATCAAAAGCACCATTTAATCTCGTTCTCACCATAGTAGTAGTTGTTTTATGTGTAAGCTTATCGACTTCACCGGTACCGGCATGTTCATGTCCGGCTCGGGTTTTTTTACCCTATTCACCATTAGGTAGTCTTTTGAGTGTAATGTTTAGTGAGAGAAATGACCTTTCTTACCAAATTATGGATTGTGATTTAGAAAAACCAGTGTAACATTGAATGTCAAATTAGACCATTACGCTTTTGACTGGCTGATTCAGAATTTATGTAGCTGATTCAGAATTCCAAACTTAATCGGTCTTTCGACTGGCTGGATCGGAAATTGATGGCCTGCCCGTTACGCTTTTGAGTCGAACTAATTAGACCATTGGTTTTTGGTTTAATCGATATTGAAACCCAGTGGTCGGCAGCTGTAAATGATCAAAACGTCAACGAGGACACCTACAGCAAGGGACCTAGAGGTTGAAAATGGCAGCGTTGGGCTGGTGATTGTTAACACTACGAAGTAAACAACTCTTGAAGGAGCCATTTAAACAAAACAAAATCAAACTCAACGAAACGAAAATGAGATTAAATGGTAGGAGAGGTTTATATATTGTAATGGTTGATTCTAATTATATTAGTCACATAATTATTTGATTGAGTTTGTAACTAGGGATGGCAACGGGCTGGGTTCGGGCCGGGTATTGGTCCCCCCGTCCCCGTTTAAAAAACCCGTACCCGTCCCCGCTTATAAAATCATGGGGATTTAAACGGGGATCCCCATCGGGTAATCGAGGAAAATCGCGAGGAAACGGGTATCCCCGTTTAGCTTAAACGATTATTTAAACGGGTATTGGGCCGGGTATCGGGTTGGGTATATATATATATATATTTAATTAAATATATAAATATTATATATTTTTTTTAATTTAAATTTAATTTATTAATATTATATATATAAAAATAATAATTATTTTTAATATTTATATGGTATCGGGACGAGTATCGGGTAATTAGGGCGGGGTTTACCAAACCCGTCCCCGTTTAGCATAAACGGTTTTTTCCAGTCTCCGTTTAATTCGGTTTTCGGTTTTCGGTTTTCCCAGTCGGGTTCGAGTTTTTTTGTCATCCCTATTTGTAACTCTGTTTAAAGGTGTATACTTTTATATACGTATGAGAAAATACATTTAGTTAGTTGGTCAAGTTGTTTATCTTTGTTCTCTTATATTTTTCTAGATAATGGGTTCTATATCAACTAGGAGTATTCCTTTTACTCTAGATAGGGTTAGGATTAGATTTAAAATTTGTCAAAAAAAAATTTATGCATATTAGTGTCGAAATTTGATAAAATAAAATAAAATAAATTATTAAATTTAAATTTTATTAAGAATAAAAAACATTTAAAGTTACCTCAACGGTTAAGAGAGTGTTGTTATACCTAAAAATATTGGGTTTGAACAGTTGTGTCTACAGCATGTGTACACTGCTGATGGTTAAAAAAGATTTTAAATAGATATTATTTTGTAATCACCCTGACTATTATTTTTTTTATTAAGGATAAAATACGTGATTAAATTTAAATTTAAGGAATAAGTTCATTTTTTAATAAAAAAAAACTAACATGGACCACAGTGAGGAAATCGGGAAATTTTGCCAAATTTAAAGACTAATATGAAAAAGTTTCAAGGACTAATTCGGAAAATGTTACTAAATTCAGTGACTAAATATTGCTTGATCCAAAAGAAATGTGAAGCTTTAGCTTTACACGTGCGAATATAGGAGGTAAATACTCGGGATGAGTCCCACACGCTGTAGAATCTTATTTTCCATGTCTCCAATATCTTGCCAGAACCATTAAAATCACAGCAATTAGGGTTCTGATCATCCCAAAATTGCCTTGATTTCCTCTCTATATCAAAGGTACTCTCCTTCTTTCTCCACTTTTAGGCTTCAATATTGATTGAAATTTAGTATGTATGTTTCGATGATCACGTTCTATACAATCGCCAATCAATTCTTATCTTTTGCGATTGTTTGTTAAGAATAAACCAGTTCTCTAATCATTTATTATATTTGTTTTTTATTTAACTGAAACGTTCCTTCGATGTTTAGGTTTTTGGGTTTAGATTGATTTTAGCTTCTGAAACGTGATACGGTCGCAGTGTTCTTTTTATTTCTTTTTTGGTATTTTCTTTAAATATATGTAAAGTCCAATAAATTGGACTGAATTGCTTGTGTTGCTCTATTTGGTAATCGTTTGAATAGTTTATGTTATCTAAGTAATTAGAAAGATCGGTTCTTTCTTTTTTGAATTCGTACATGTTTTTTTTTAATCTTTTTTCCGAGTTAGAGGATTTCAGAAGATGCAAGGAGGCAGAGGTGGAAGGGATCCTTTCTTTAATTTTGCGGCGACCCCTTTGGTGGCTTTGGTGGTTTTGGGGGCTTTGGAGGCTCTGGTGGTCCTCCTAGAAGTTTACTCTCCAACTTCTTTAGTGGAAGGGACCCTTTGATGACCCTTTTTTCACTCGCCCTTTCGGAAGCATGTTCGAATCAAGCTTATTTGGCCCCGGCCAAAGTCCTTTTATGGATTTGCATTCTACTGGGTTAATTGAGCATCAGGCTCCTGAGCCAAAGAGACCAAGGGGTCCGATTATCGAAGAACTAAACTCTGATGATGAGAAGGAAGAACCAGATAATGGGATGAAAGGAAATCCAAGGAAGCATGGTAGGTCGGATCCTGAACCTTATGTTGAGGTTCCAGATGACGAAGCTGAACAATCTGGGAGAAGGAACAGGCATTTGCAGTATGTGAATGGTTATAATTCTTCATATCAAAGACAACAGCAGCAGCAGCAGCCTCAAACTCATAGTTTCACGTTTCAGAGCTCCACTGTCACTTATGGTGGTATGATGGAGCTTACTATACTTCTTCCAAAACAAGGAGGATTGGAAGTGATGGAGTAAGTTCTTTTGAAGTTCAAAGAATGGTCATTAGTAATCCCGTTTCTTATATGTCTTACATTTTTCTTTTCCGGAATAGATTACCTTCGAGGAAAGCAAAGAAGCTGACACAGCCTCAGGTCAAGCAAGCCACCAAGTTTCTAGGGGACTTCACGACATGGTAGCTTGCAAATCTTGTGTCTCTCAGACAATCTAAAATTTGAGTCTTGACCATGGCTTATGATAAGAATTTTTGTTGTAGGGTCATTCTGTCATGAGAAAACTGAATTCAGATGGTAGGGTGAATACAATGCAAACCTTGCATAATTTGAATGAAGGTAAACTCATGTTATGAACAACAGAGTGCTGTGGTATATTTGTTGTTTAAAGTAGATTTATTAACTAGTCCAATGGCATTTAAAAGGTAAATCTTCTGACTTGGTGAATTTTCCAGATGAGCTTGCTGGTTTTGAAGAATCTTGGAATGGAAAAGCCCAAAAGCATATGCCGGGCTGGTCTGGAAGTTTTATTGGCCATAATAGCCTAGGTAAGATAGGTCTTCAATGCTTGCCCCTAGTAATTTTGCTTCACTTATTATAAGGGAAAAAAGGCAAGACTGTGCCTCCCCTTTTGTTCTTTCAGTTTCTTTTTTGATTATTTTAGTTATCACTTTCCGAATATATGGTTGGTGTGACGGTCTGAATAACATTAAGGCAATGCTTTTTTTTTAATACCATATGACCTTAAATCATATCTGTTGTTGCAACTTTTGTCTCAGGGTCTGGCAGCAGTGGACAAAACTTGCAGGCAGGTCAGAAAGGATGGGCGCTTCCTCTACTGAGCATTCTCAGCCGAACGGGAGGTTGATGCTGGATGCAAGAGATAGAGAAGGGCCTTCACGCAGCCAGCACTCTATAAGGATGAAAGGATCAACAGATCTTAAAGATCAGAGTTCTCAGTCTCGAGGGAAGCGAAAGGACTAAAGTTGGACTAATCTGCTGGTGCAGACTGCAGAGGGCATTGCCTTTTATTATATATATATGTTGTGTTTTATGATTCCATCTTTTAGAGCTTATATCTTCCTTTAGTTTTAAACTCTCTAGTCACGCATTATATGTTGTTACAGTATAATATCCGACTTTCCGGTATATTGAACGTTTTGTAATTTGAAATAAGCAAATGCTCTGCTTCACTTTCTATTGAATCGTTGCGGTCATGTTGTGAATGGTTTTTTAATCCATGTTTATGGGAGGTCAAACTAAATATATCCGTATTTGATGGATACATTGGACATTTTTTTGTTTGGTGATGCTCACATTCAAGTCCAAATATTACATCTCTTGCATCGTTTATGTATAGATTTTTGGATAAATTGCAGTAATGGTCACTGAATTTTTTAAAGGTGTCCAGGCTACTTTTACTCCGGTCATCGAAGTAAAAAATAACATATCTTCCATTGAAGTCATTGTCGAAGAAGATTTTCATTTCGATATAATTGATGTAATATGTTTACACGTCAACAGTAATTAGGTTAACATGCACGAGTATCATTCATTTTAATAGATTAATCTTATTAAATAAACTGATGAGATGTATATATATTGATTTAACTATTGTTGATATGTGGACGTGTCTGACATTAATAGTTTAATGATTAAATAATCGAAATGGATTTTTATTTATCGGAGAGTAAAGTGAACACGACTTAAAAGTTTAATGACTATTAGTATAGTATAGCCTAATTCTTTTTGTTTTTGTTTCGTCAAATCAAATGGTATGCTTGGATTTGCTGTTATAGGGAGTTGGCAAGTAATTTATGTAGAGGGCTTCTGAACTTGAAAATCTGAATCTCTAGAATTCAATAATAAAGGAACTTTGGTACAACATTGTCAATGGAAAACTAGGGTTGTCCCCGACAATGTTTGTATATGAACAACGAGAAGAAACTGCTAATTTATGTTCTATTTACACAAGTTGTCTGAATTTCCAAGCATTATTAGAAGAAATGTACATTGAACCCACACAAAAGGGAAGCAAAGAGACAATAAGTAACTCCCAAGTCGATTAAGAAGAATGAAAGTGGCTGCAGTGTGTTGATTCATCAGCATTGCAGAATGCGTCAAAACAATAGAATTTTTATGATGAATTTCAGCATTGCTGAGTAGTTGATAATCTAGGCCATGAAATTCTGAACTTTCCGGAGCCCAAGGAGATGACTGGCTTTCTTCAGAATTACTTACAGGATTGCCCCC